TTCATGCTATTTATTTTGAGCATTTAACTATTAAAGATGCTGATGTATTAGAACTAGAGAAAGATTTGTCAAATGAAGTAGAAAACAAATGTTCAAACAAGAGATGGTGTAGCTTCTACTTCTTTACCCGTGCCTGTAAGGTACTCTTCTCCTGGCACACATGCAAATACAATTAGTCCTGAATCTACTGAGGTAAGGAGAAGTAAGAGACGTCGGATAGAAAAAGATCTAGGTCATGGAATGTTTACATATTCAATAGAAGAGGATTCTAGAACCTATCAAGAAGCTATGTCACTACCTGATGCTAATCTTTGGAAAAAGGCTATGGATGATGAAATTAAATCTATTCATGATAATAATGCATTGACCTTGGTAGAACTTCCTCCTAATACTAAGATCATTGGTTCTTGAAGAAGAAACTTAAAGCTAATGGAAGTATAGATAGATATAAAGCAAGATTAGTAGCTAAAGGTTATAGCCAGAAAGAAGGTTTTGACTACTTTAAAACATTTTCTCGTGTTACTAACATTACTACTACTAGAGTCATGTTTGCTATTACTTCCATGTATAATTTGGAAGTACATCAGATGGATGTCAAAACAGCAATTCTCAATGGTGAGTTAGATGAAGAAACTTACATTTAACAACCTGAAGGTTATGTCGTGAATGGAGAAAAACACAAGGTATGTAAACTCAACAAATCTTTATATGGTCTTAAACAAGCACCTAGACAATGGTATGAAAAGTTTAAAAAGGAGATAAGATCTATTGGCTTTAAATGTAGTAAAGCAGAAAATTGTGTTTTTTATAAATGAAATGTCGATCATAAATTTCTTATTACTTTATATGTTGACGATTTACTTATATTTGGTTCTAACATAGCATGTGTTAATGAAACCAAAAAATTTCTTATGCAAATTTTTGATATTAAAGATTTAGGTCATGTAGATGTGATATTAGGTATTAGAGTAATTAGAAATGAAAATGAATTTATTCTTACACAGTCACATTATATTGAGAAGTTGCTTAAAAAATTTAATTTTGTAGATTGTAAACCTAGTAAAACTCCTCTTGATCCTCATATTAAATTAATGCCTAATGCTAATGAACCTATAAATCAAGGAGATTATGCTAAGATAATTGGTAGTTTAATGTATGTGATGAATAGTACTAGACCAGACATTGCATGTGTTATTGGTATGCTGAGTAGATTTACTAGCAATCCTAGTCTTGAGCATTGGAAAGCTATTAGCAAATTAGTGAGATATTTGAAGCATACATCAAACTATGGTTTACATTATAAGTGTACTTCTTCTGTTCTGGAATGTTATAGTGATGCCAACTGAGCTTCCGATAGAAACAACTCTAAGTCTACTAGTGGCTGGTTACTCACTGTAGGAGGAGCTATAGTGGCTTGGTCCTCTAAGAAACAATCTTGCGATGCACTATCGTCTATGGAATCTGAATTTATATCTATGTCTCTTGCTAGCAGAGATATTCTATGGATTAGGAGATTCATGAAGTGCATACCATTTATTAATATTCCTAAAGGACCTATTACTTTATATTGTGATAACCAAGCTGCAATTCATAATACAAAGAATGAGAGGATGTCTGGCAATAGCAAGCATATTGCCATGAGATACAATCATGTGAGAAGTCTTGTGAAGAAAGGTAAAATTTCTGTTAAATATCTTCCAACTAATCATATGTTGGCAGATCCTCTCACAAAAACTTTATCAGGTGAGAAAATTGAGAAAGTCATGGGAAACATGGGGCTATCTCCATTTTAATAAAGGTAATCTAGAATGACGTCTACTCTTTCATATGAATGTCAGTTTTAACTAGAAATTCATATTCTAAGCATTCAAGGATAAGTTCTCAAGAATTATCCAAGAAATATTAGCGCCGAGATTATATTTTTGGTGCATAAATATACTCAAGGAATAGTGGGGGTAATTAATATAAATAATTTGCTATTCCTTTAAAGTTCCATGTTTGACTATATGCACTGATTTCCACAGTGAGAAGGCCGAACATTGTTCTTACAATTTCATAGATTAAAGAGGAGTGTTAGAGCAGTTGTGGACACTCTTGATGAGATTGTCTATGCAAGTATAAAAGTGAGAGGCCGTTTTTTATGGATTTAATGGTGAATCCTAGAGTACTTGCTAAAACAGGATTGAGCGCAAGGCCCATATTAATCGGCGCCGCCATTGCAGAACAAGAACTCATATATGATACGAATATGAATTTATATTCATATTCATTCTAAAGGTTCAAAGCTAGTTAGCTACCTTTAGTTATGTGTTATACAAATACCCAATATCATCCATCCTTTGTTTTGTGTCCGCATATTATTATTAAACAATAAGTGGGGGACTGTTATATATAAAATAATATATATGTATTATTTATTAATAATATTTATTTTTATAAAAAAGGAAAAAGAATTCTATCTTAAATTTGAATACAATCGATGCCTTCTGTGAAACTAACTATGTGTTTTTATGAGTAACTAACTCTTTGTTAACTGCTAGTTTTAATTTAAATGAAGCATACATTGGCAAAGGTCATAAACATTGTCTATATAAAGGGTATTCTACAGGATTCTAAATAACTTCTAAGCAATTATATATACAACATCTCTCTTACTATTATAAGATCTGTTTATATATATCAAATCTTCGTTAATTACTTTCTTCTAAATCCTTCATTCTTTTGGGTTGAGTTCTTGTGGTTGGGAAATCAAAGAGTGCAACTTTGATTTCTAGAGTAGGCATTGTATACTGGGGATAGATTTTCCTTTAATCATTTGCACCGTGTGGGGGAAATTACTATCATAAAGATAGTTTCCTGGAAACGCCTTGTCTACTCGTTCCAAATTTCTTATTAGATTATCTTACTTGAGTTTACTCCATTGGTTTATTTTCAATATATTTATATAACAATTTTAGGATAATAATTATTCTGATTTAATGGACTCTTCTTTGACGGGCAAACAATTCCAAGATGTGGAGAGGCTTGAAAAGTTCAATGGGATGAACTACAAGCGTTGGAGTATGAAGATGATGTATCAATTGACGATTGCGAAAGTTTACTATGTCTTGACTTGTTCATATCCACAAGATGGAAAAGCAGATGGGCAGCTTTCGGACTCGCAACAAAAATGGCTTGAAGATAATTTTGTGTGCCGCTCAATGATCCTGAATGCAATGAGTAATGCCCTCTTCAGTGTGTTTCACAAGTGCTACCCTTCATATGAGTTGTGGGCTGCCATCTCGCGAAGGTATGTAACAGAAGATGCTGGAAATAGATCCTTCTTAATTAACAAGTATATTGATTTTAAGATGGATGATTCCAAACCTTTTATTGATCAAGTAAATGAATTAAATAAAATTGCCTCTCAATGTGCTGATGTGGGTGAGTCAATTACTGAGATTTTTCAAGTTTCTACTATTATTGGTAAACTTCCTCCTTCTTGGAAAGATTATCAGATGAAATTAAAGCACAAGACTAAGTCTCTAAATTTGGATCAATTACTTCAGCATATTCAAATTGAGTATGAGGCTAGAAATAGAGATTTGCTTGTTTATAATGGAAAGGATAAAGTGCATAATATTGAAAATTCCACATCCTCCTAATCTGCTAAAACCAAGATTAAAAAGTTTCACAATGGAAACAAGACTTCTGATTATAAAAAAAGATTTGATTCCAAGATGGTATTAGTAAGAAGAACAGAGGACCTTGCTTTGTATGTGGTAAGATGGGACATTTGGCTAGAGTTTGTAAATTTTGCAAAGGTATGAAAGAAGAAGCCAATGTCATGGAGCAAGAAAAAGAAATGGTTGTTGTTCTTACTGAAATTCTTATGATGGATAGCAATGAAGAATGGTAGTTAGATTCTGGAGCAACTTGTCATGTCACTCCATTCAAAAGTGGTTTCAAAACATATGAAGATGTAAAGGGTGAGAAAACAGTTTACATGGGCAACTCCACCACTTGTGCTATTATGGGAATTGGCTCTGTGCAACTTCCGCTTTCTTCGGGAAAAGTTCTCACTCTCAAGAATGTTCATCACATTCCTGGAATTAGGAAAAGTCTTGTTTCTATTAAAAAAACTTGATGATCATGGTTTTAGAGTAGTATTTGATACCCAGAAAGTTATTATTTCTAAGAACGGATCATTTGTTGGGAAAGGATATGCTAAAAACAATATGTATGTTTTAAGTATGAATAAAGTTTCAAGTGCTTCTGCTTATATTGTTGATGATGTGAATGTTTTTTGGCATTATAGATTAGGTCATATAGGTAGTAATGCAATGAATCGCATGATTTCATACAATTATATTCCTAAATCTTCACACATTTATACTACCAATAACTGTGAATGTTGTGCACAAGCAAAAATCACTAAGTCACCTTTTATATCAGTTTTTAAAATGACATCTCATTTAGAACTTGTGCATACTGATTTATGTGATAATAAAGATCATTTGACTAGAGGGGGTAAAAGATATTTTGTGTCTTTTATTGACGATTTTTCAAAATATACATATTTTTATTTGCTTAAACAAAAGATGAGACTTTTGAAAAATTTAAAATCTTTAAAGAAGAAATAGAAAATAAGACTAATAAGAAAATTAAAAGGATAAGATCCGATAGAGGTGATGAATTTCTTTCTACTCAGTTTATTTCATTTTGTGAACAACATGGAATAGTAAGAGATTTTTCTGCTCCTAACTCTTCTCCACAAAATGGAGTTGCTGAAAGGAAAAATAGGACACTTTTAGAGATGATTAGTGCAATGCTTCTACATTCTAAGTTGCCTTACAGTTTATGGGTGAAGCTCTATATACTGCATGTCATGTAACTAATAGAATTTTGCAAAAAGGACAATATAAGTCACCTTATGAGTTGCTTACAAATAGAAAATCAAATATCAGTTATTTTAAAGTTTGGGGATGTATTGCATATGCATTAGATGCAACACTAAAAAGACCCAAGTTAGGTAGCAAGGCAATTAAATCTATTTTCTTGGGCTATTCCATGCATAGTAAGGCATCTAGATTTTTAAATTTGCATACTAATAGTGTGTTTGAATCTGTTCATGCTATTTATTTTGAGCATTTAACTATTAAAGATGCTGATGTGTTAGAACTAGAGAAAGATTTGTCAAATGAAGTAGAAACAAATGTTCAAACAAGAGATGATGTAGCTTCTACTTCTTTACCCGTTCCTGTAAGGTACTCTTCTCCTGGCACACATGCAAATACAATTAGTCCTGAATCTACTGAGGTAAGGAGAAGTAAAAGACGTCGGATAGAAAAAGATCTAGGTCCTGGAATGTTTACATATTCAATAGAAGAGGATCCTAGAACCTATCAAGAAGCTATGTCACTACCTGATGCTAATCTTTGGAAAAAGGCTATGGATGATGAAATTAAATCTATTCATGATAATAAAACATGGACTTTGGTAGAACTTCCTCCTAATACTAAGATTATTGGTTCTAAATAGATTCTGAAGAAGAAACTTCAAGCTGATGGAAGTATAGATAGATATAAAGCAAGATTAGTAGCAAAAGGTTATAGCCAGAAAGAAGGTTTTGACTATTTTGAAACATTTTCTCCTGTTACTAATATTACTACAATTAGAGTCATGTTTGCTATTACTTCCATGTATAATTTGGAAGTACATCAGATGGATGTCAAAATAGCATTTCTCAATAGTGAGTTAGATGAAGAAATTTACATTCAATAACCTGAAGGTTATGTCGTGAATGGAGAAAAACACAAGGTATGTAAAACTCAACAAATCTTTATATGGTCTTAAACAAACACCTAAACAATGGTATGAAAAGTTTAAAAAGGAGATAAGATCTATTGGCTTTAAATGTAGTAAAGCAGAAAATTGTGTTTTTTATAAATGCAATGTCGATCATAAATTTCTTATTACTTTATATGTTGACGATTTACTTATATTTTGTTCTAACATAGCATGTGTTAATGAAACCAAAAAAATTCTTATGCAATTCTTTGATATTAAACATTTAGGACATGTAGATGTGATATTAGGTATTAGAGTAATTAGAAAAGAAAATGAATTTATTCTTACACAGTCACATTATATTGAGAAGTTGCTTAAAAAATTTAATTTTGTAGATTGTAAACCTAGTAACACTCCTCTTGATCCTCATATTAATTTAATGCCTAACACTAATGAACCTATTAATCAAAGAGAGTATGCTAAGATAATTGGTAGTTTAATGTATGTGATGAATAGTACTAGACCAGACATTGCATGTGTTATTGGTATGCTGAGTCGATTTACTAGCAATCCTAGTCATGAGCATTGGAAAGCTATTAGCAAATTAATGAGATATTTGAAGCATACATCAAACTATGGTTTACATTATAAGTGTACTTCTTCTGTTCTGGAATGTTATAGTGATGCCAACTGGGCTTCCGATAGAAGCAACTCTAAGTCTACTAGTGGCTGGTTACTCACTGTAGGAGGAGTTGTAGTGGCTTGGTCCTCTAAGAAACAATCTTGCTATGCACTATCGTCTATGGAATCTGAATTTATATCTATGTCTCTTGCTAGCAGAGATATTCTATGGATTAGGAGATTCATGAAGTGCATACCATTTATTAATATTCCTAAAGGACCTATTACTTTATATTTTGATAACCAAGCTGCAATTCACAATACAAAGAATGAGAGGATGTCTGGCAATAGCAAGAATATTGCCATGAGATACAATCATGTGAGAAGTCTTATGAAGAAAGGTAAAATTTCTGTTGAATATCTTCCAACTAATCAGATGTTGGCAGATCCTCTCACAAAACCTTTATCAGGTGAGAAAATTGAGAAAGTCATGGGAAACATGGGGCTATCTCCATTTTAATAAAGGTAATCTTGAATGACGTCTACTCTTTCATATGAATGTCAATTTTAACTGAAAATTCATATTCTAAGCGTTCAAGGATAAGTTCTCAAGAATTATCCAAGAAATATTAACGCCGAGGTTATATTTTCGGTGCATAAATATACTCAAGGAATTGTGGGGGTGATTAATACAAATAAATTGCTATTCCTTTAAAGTTCCATGTTTGACTATATGCACTGATTTCCACAGTGAGAAGGCTGAACTTTGTTCTTAATAGTTTCATAGATTAAAGAGGAGTGTTAGAGCGGTTCTGGACACTCTTGATGAGACTGCCTATGCAAGTATAAAAGTGAGAGGCCGCTTTTTATGGATTTAATGGTGAATCCTAGAGTACTTGCTAAAACAGGATTGAGCGCAAGGCCCATATTAATCGGCGCCGCCAATGCAGAACAAGAACTCATGTATGATACGAATATATATTTATATTTGTGAGCACGTGATTTTTGCTTCACGGAAGCCATTCCAAAATAAATCGAAAAATAAAGAAAACAAGTTACCTTCGGGTACAATTTTGGGAATGTGCGTGACATTTTGATAATTGTTCTGCCCGTAAATGCTCGCCTTGCTATAGTTAAAAAATACAAAGATACATATTGCCTGAATCTAGGAATAAATATTACATTTAGGAATTAATTAACTATAATTTGGTTTTTAAAAGCGAAAATCACAAAAATACGCATTTTTGTTGTCATGGTAATTTTTATTAAAATGTTTTAATTCGTGTGATAATTGTTGTTAGGTGGTAATCAATATTTGTGTTGTTTAAATTTTGGTTTTTAAGAATTTTTGTTAATTATAAGGGAAAAATATACCGTATTTGGGCCAAAAATCCAATTGAAAATCAGGCCCAATCCCTTGCATTGATCCAGTCCAGTCGCCTGACCCCTCAGACGCACCAAACGACGCCGTATTAGCATCCCCATTCTGAGCCATTGATTTATTCAAATGAACGGACTAGATCAGGCCATTCACTTACCCAAACAACGCCGTATAGGTCCAGCTAATCTCAACCGTTAACCCAATCCCATCCAACGGCCTCAGGTCATCCCCATATGCCCGACCCATTTCACCCCGGACCAGCCCGACCTCCTTTAGGTGGAACGACACCGTTCCCTTTAAGTAAAGGGATCCTGGCCCTCGATTTTACTTGATCCAATGGCCATGATCCATTTTCCCCCTCCGTATATAAACCCTTCATCACACCCCA